AGGCCAGCCTGAAACAAATAAATTTAAGCCCTTGGACCTACATCAGAACCACATTGTGTGGTCCTTAAAATGATTTCTATGAAAATTGTGGTACACACCTGTAACTCCAAATATTCAGGAAGCTGAGGTAGGATGACCACAAGTTCAAGGCCAGCGTGGGCAATTTAACAAGACCTTATATCAAAATAAAAAGGCTGAGGATATAGCTCAGTGATTTCATGATTAATAAACTAAAAGTTCCAGTTGGAATTAGAAATGTCTCAGTCATCGTTTTAGAGAGCCATGCCATTGGTACCTAATGCCATTTCCCTCCACTACCAATGTGGCATCTAATTCATAATAAAATCTTTTAAATCTGATGTTTAAATTGGATCAAATTGGGCCGGGGACTTAGCTCAGTGGTGCTGTGCCTGCCTCACAAGCACAAGGTCCTGAGTTCGATCCCCGGTACCAAAAAACAAAATTGCACCAAATTAAGGTTAAGCCTAAGACTGGTACACTTAGCTAAATTATAGCAGAGGATGATGTGGACAAAGAATGTTAGTGATGTTTTGTCACCCATTAAATAATTATTTTTTAAATCAATGCTTATGGGCACATAATTAAATTTCACTTAGAATATCCTTAACTTAGGGTCAAGCCATTGACTTTGTGTGCTAATTAGGTATATCTGGTAGTTTCTAAGGTGAGTTCACAACCAGAGAAATTGTGGTAATTAAGTTAAACAGTTATATCACTGACCTAACCAGTACCATTAAGGACTTCTAAATGTATTTTATTATGTATTTAGCATAACTGGCCATGCTGATGTTATTAATACTAAACTACAGAGAAGATTACTTAAGAACTATGCAGAAAACCTGGGTATCCTACCTTTACTTACTATACATTCACATTATCTATTTTTCCTCTTCTCAAAATATCCATTGCATCAAATGCTACTTTCTACCAGCCCTTAAGATTCCCTGACACTCATCAGAAGGAGCATTAAAGATATTACTGGCACCTATGATATGTATTCATTATTGAGAGCACTTATCAAACCTAAGGTTTCTTCTCTCCTGACATGCTACCCAGTATTTCTTCTAAACCAATATGACAAACCTTTGCCCTTATCTCTCTTCTCAAATAAGCTTTTCTTAAGGTAACTTGGAGCTAAATAACTCACCAATGAACAGTACTACAATTCAATAAATATACTCTGCTATTAAGTCTAATGTACAAATATGATAAAAGATTGGAAATGGATGGAACCTTGTCTGAGTGCTGTACTGGCACTTAACAAGGCTAGTGAGCATTCATTTCCAAAGGAGTCATGTTCCAGTCTTTTTGTGATAAACCTATTGCCTAAACAGATTTGCTCTTTAAGAATACACACAAGAGGTTTTCCTCCATTATTCTGGTGTTTTTTGTTGTTGTTTTGCTTTTGGCTACTGTCTACACTGAATACTTAATAGCCATAAATCACTTTCATTCTGGGCTAGAGTCTCTGATCAAGTCAGGAATGTTCTTCAGTGCTGCTGCTGCTGAATGATCTGCTCCGGATGTGATTTCTCAGTTGCTCTATAAGTTTAGGATTCTCTTGATGTACCTGATGAACAAACTGCTGTCCCAGTTTGAAGAGGTTTC